TAGAGGGGGTGCAGAGGGAGCCCACCTTGACCTGAAAACTTGGTCCTCACATGTACCATCTTGTAGGCCAGGGGAGCTCCGTCTGGCTGGGTTTTGGGAATGTCTTGCACCTCTCAGTGACCCACTTTGCTATGTGAAAACTGGAATGCCAGTAGAAGAACCCACAGGGTGTGGTCAGGACCAAAAGAGTTGGTCCTGCAAATGCCTGTCCTGGGCTCGGTCGTGTACCCAGCACTGTGGTCCACTTGTTTGTGACATTCACCTTTTATCAACATGGGGAAGCTCTCAGCCTAGGTCCTCGCTTGAGGCCTCAGAGAAAGTTTCCCCATCTGTGAAGGAGGCTCCAGATTCCATTTGGGAGACTCTTATCTCAGATGCAGGAAGAGCAGGAGCCATGGGGGTGGACTGAGGAGCATAACGCCCATGGAGATATTTGGGAAGGAGATGGTTGGGTTCCTTCATGCATACATGGATATGAAGGACTAATTGTATACAGGCACATTTCTGGGTACTTAGCCCAATTCATGGAAAAAGAGCAGGAAAACACCTTCTCTCTTAGACTTTATTTCTATGGCAGAGTAGCCAGTGACCCAAGAAGTCATAAGAAGGTGGGGTAGGTGTGTTCCCAGTCTTCCATATCCATCTGCTCAGGTTTATTTACTCACTTTTGGGAAAACCAAAGGAAGCCATTTATTTTGGAGAAAAGGGGAAAGACTTTCTTTTAATCTCACTCCAAGGGGATGGAGGTGTTGTCTTTGCCTCAAATCACCATCTCACAGCCTCCAGGTGTGCAGGGTCTTTCATAGTAAGGTGCAGAGGGGAAGGGGCACACAAGGAAAGAAGGCACACAAGGAGAGAAGGCACCTTTCCAGGCTTGCTCCAGGGTTCCAGGACACTTTTGATTCCCTCCGTTCCTCCTGGAAATGAAATGGGGCCTGACTGCCTGTGTAGCATCTTCATGTTCTCTCCTTTTGTCTGTGCTGAGGAGAAGAGGAAGTGGTAGTTAAATCCTCAGCTTGAGGATGTTTGGAAAAGCCACTTGTCCCTAAGGAAAAATTCTAAAGTACCATTTCATCATGCTGGTTACAGATGTGATCATCTCATGACCTCTACATACAGCCAAAGCCCCCATTACTCTGGTAGAAATGGCAGGCCTCTGGATCAGCTGAAAAAGTGAGTGGGATTTGCCTCAAGAGGGAAAGTTCCTGAGTCCAGAATGGGGAACTGGGGAGCTGAGATAGGGAGGGGCAAACACCAGCTCCTCTATTTGTGTCTCCCACTGGAGGGCTGAGGTCTGGGGCTTCCCTTGCAGCAGGAGGAGATAAGAGCTGTGGGTGGGGTCGCAGACCAGGGAACAGAGGGGGGACCTGAGGGTTTGAGCCAGGCACTGTGAGGATCCATTCCCACCAACAGCCCATTCCAGCCTTGTGTGTCCATCCCGCCCCTCATGGGAAACAGTGGCTGTTTGGGGAGCAGCATGGTCATATGTGGCCTTGCTACTTTCCTTGTAGTTTCCAGGTGTCTTGATGACTATAAGAGGGGAGGCTGCACCCCTCAGTGGAAGTGTGGAAGGGAAGACAAGACCCATAGGTATCTCAGATATGGAAGCAGCCTGGCAGCCAGGCCACAGGTTGAGGTGTTACCAGGGTTGTGGGTGGGAGAAAAAAACATAGAACAGTTTAGCTTCCGGTGAGCAGGAGCCCCCAATTTCCACACTGCAGTGTGTGGGCTTCTCTGAAGAAGGGGCATTGATCTGGGGCTCCCTCCAGTGCAGGATCTCTGAAGTCCCTGCTGGGTTTCTTGGCCAGTCTCTGTATGGACAGTCTAAGGCGTGCAGGCTGAGCAGGCTGTTCACTCAGTGAACTGGGGAGTACAGTAGCCCAGGCCCCTTGGGATGCCATCGAGAAGGGGAGGTCAGGTCCCTGACACTGCCCACCCCCCTGCCCTCAGTGCCATCTCTACCATCTTGGGCACGTGGCTGGAAAAGTATTCAGATCAGTTCTGGCAGCCTCCGGAGTTTGAGTGCCTCAAGCAGCTGGTGGAGTACGTGAAGCTGCACATGGCTGGCTCAGACCTGGAGCACCGTGCACAGCTTCTCCTGGCCCAGCTGGAGAACATGGAGACCGTGAAAGCCAAGTCTGAGGGTGAGGAGGCCTGGGATGGGTCCATCAGAGCCCTAGGAAGAGGCTCTTGGTCGGGTTGGGTGAGGCCCAAAGATGAGCCTCCGGCCCCTCAGGTGGTGGACCACAGGCTGAGCAGATCTCCTGTTGTGGAGTCAGGGTTGGGAGACTTTCTGGAAGTCAGGGAAAGGCGATGATGTTTGGCATCTTTTTTCCTGCAGCTCTGGCACGAGCACCAGAGCCAGTTCCAACTGGAGAGCAAGAGCCAGCTCTAGCAGCAGCCTCTAAGCCAGCAGTAGACACACCACCCATTCTGCAGCAAGAGTCAGCTGCAGTGCCAGCTCCAGTCCCAGGTGTACCTGTAAAGCCACCTCGGGCTATTGTTCCAAGGAAGAAGCTGACTGTATCTGAGATGACTCTGGAGCTGCAGCCAGCCAGAGCAGGGCCACTCCTCCCAGTGGTGCCACCCTGGCCTTCACTTATGACCATGAAAACCAGGGTGAGTGCAGCCTCACGTGACGGTGTCCCCTCCTGATCTGCTGGCAGACCAGGTCATGCTGAGGGACATGATAAGGGACTGTGCTGAGAAGGAAAGGCAAGTGTGGACTCCTTTCGGGCATCTGCCATCAAGACCTGCTGAGCCCATATCCTGTTCAAATCCCAGCTCCATCCTTGCACAACACAGGGTCACTCTTATGTAAGATGTCCTTGTGGCAGGGAAACAGAGCCCAGAATTCCCTGTGAGGCCTGAGCCACAGTCCTGACTTCCTGAGCTCCAGATCTGATTGGCAGTATCCATCCTTGCTTGGGGTCCTGTGGTCTGTGGCAGGACCCAGTGGCACTATCTCTCCCCAGGAGTTGTTTAAAAACATGACACTCTACTCTTTCCAGGATCTCACCTCCTTGCAGCAGGGCAAAAAGGCCCAGGAGCACCAGTCTGCCACCATCCACACCCCTCTCATTCAGCTCCCAAATGTGGCCCAGTGTGTCATCAGCACTGTCCTCAGGCACTGCATCATGGAAACCTCAGCCTGCACCCAGGTAATGGAGCACTGGATCCCCAGGGGCCCTCAGCTTCAGGAGGGTCCAGGACCTCTCTTCGCCTTTATGTGCTCAGGCCCCTCCTTCCCAGGGCCATGCTGGCCTGGACTCTCCCATCCAGTCTTCCCTCCTGGCACCTTTTCCTTGGCTGTAGCTGCCATTCTGGGCTCTCTCATCCCTTGCTTCCCAAGTGTCCCCTCTGGAGGCTCCATGAGGGTCTATGTGATCAGGACACATTCAGGGGACTGGAGAGAGCTGCAGGCCTCTCCCAGAGTCCTTCTCTCCCAGGAGCGCCAAAGGCCAAGGAACCTCACCTCTCTCTCTGGGCTGCGAATCAGTGCTATCCAATGCCTGATGGAGAACTGGGAAGACTTCTCCAGGTGGTTGCTGCTCTCCATTGGACCTCCGGGTGAACCAGCTCCACAGACTGAACAAAGTATGTGCACAACTTGTCTGTGGAAGTAGAAATGTCTAGAATGTGTTTTTTTTATTGATAGAATGCATTTTGTAAAGTTCCCCCAAACTCAAAATAAAAAAAAATCTTAGAAAAGAGCCAAAAGAAATGAAAGACAATTTACCAAATAGGCAAAAATATGTTGAGCCTGGGTGTAGTGGAGCAGGCCTGTCGTCAGATTACTCTCAAGAGAGACTGAGGCAGGAGAATCACAAGTTCCAGTGCAATCTGGCAATTTAATGATCCTGTGAAACCCTTAAAAAAAAAGAGAGAGAGATGATATTCACCATAATTAGCCATCAAACCATATTTAAAACCATAGTGCTATATCACCTCGATGTATTTGAATAGCTAACATGAAAAATACCAATTACCTATTGCAAGAATGGATGACAAGAAATCAGGCCTGTCCTACACTGCTGGTGAAGAAGTACATTTCCTGGTTTTGATATCATCCTATTATTTTTGCAAACTGCTACCAGTGGGTGAAGCTGGGTAAAGAGTGGATAGAACATCTCATTACTCAAGTACCTGTGAGTCCCTAATCATTTCAAAGCAAAATGTTTTTCAAAAAGCTATAATAACATCTAACTTCTAGAAGGTATATGTTTGAAATATAGACAGATAAGTTGAGAGTATAAGAAATGAAAAAGATAAAACAGGCAAACCTTAATCACAAGGAAATTGGTGTAAGTGTATTAAGATGAGAAAAGGCAGCCTCCAAGGTAAAGGACGTCAGTAAACTAAGAAAGACATTGCATAATGAGAAAAGGAGAAAATTTCCAGGAATACAAAACAACCATTCTCATGAAAAAATGGTAGAACATAAAAATTCAGGAAGCTAGACTGGTAGAGTTAAAGGGGGGTGGGGAATATAGAGAAAACCTCAGATTTAGGTGGAATGTTTCAGCATCTCTAATTCAGTAACAGAAAAATTCAATAAACAGTCCTCCAGCAGGGATACAGAATCTTCAGAATACTTCAGATATATACAAACTCCATCCAATAGCAGCAGAACAGGCTGCTTTTGCAGTGCATGTGCAGCCATGGGCACAGCTCAGAGCCAGACTTGGACACTAGAATGGAGGAGAACTGTAGTATTAGTATTTCTCCTGAAATACCGGGTATTTATATCACATTATATTCGCTCAGTCTATCTGCTTTACACATTGCTCAGGGAGAATATAATAACATGATCAAATGGAAATTTCTCTCCAGATATAATACCATCACCACCACAATTAAGATAAAATCATTTTTTTAAAACGGGTTGAAGGATCATCTTTGTATTGCTTTTCCTTTTTTCACTTTCAGTCCTGGGTATTGAACCTAGGGCCCTTGTACTGAATATAACTCCAGCTTGCCATATTTTATATTTTTGAAACAAAGCCTCACTGAGTTGCTAGGTTGCCCAGCCTGGTTTCAGAAGCACAGAGGTGTTTTCATGGGTGTGAGAAAGTTCCTTCCTGTGTTTCTAATAACAGATCTGGTTTGGTCTGTTGTATTTCAGGTGTGGGACAAGGCTGAGAGTTTTTGGCAAATGCTGTGGAAAAGGTGTTATGGTCTATAAATGTGGGCTGGGGCCTCCCCATATCCTGATAAATTTCCTGACTGAACCCTTCTTCCCCAAACTCACACACGTGCTAATCCTCAGGGGAGGGCCTCTGGAGGAGTCTAAGCTCTTTCCCCAGAAAGGAGGGGCAGGTCAGCACTTGTGCAGAGTGCTGGGGCTGGGTTTCAGGGGATGCCCCTACTTGGTGGGGCTGGGGAGGCAGGATCCCTGGAGAGGCTGCCACCTTGTCAAAGTGGCCTACATCAGGACAGTGCTGTTCACCTGTGGCCACACCCAGATGGGGGTGCCTGAGGTTAGCTGTCAGGAGGGTCATTAGCTGGGTCAGCTCCATCAGGGGCTGAGGCTGTGAAGGTGAGTGAAGTTGACCCATGCAGCCTAAGGCCTGCAGTGCTGGGGGTGCCTTATCTGGACAAGTCTTCCTTTATGCAAGCATACCCTGGAGCAAGCCATGTCAAGACACACCCAGTTTAAGAGCCTCAGGACTACTCTTGTGGCAAAGCAGTCTTGCATCCACCTCCATGCTTGGAGCCCCCTCCACAGCCCAGCTGAAAGTCTGTGTATAGCCATTTGCAACCTTCAAGCCTTGCCTTTTCAGGTCTTCAGAGAAAATGTCTCCAGGCATTGTTCTGGAGACCATGTGATTCTCAACCCCACCCCTTTCCACCTGCACCACTGGCCAGGTGCTCTTAGAGCTGTGGAACTTTGCAGGTGTGGGCATTGGTGTCCCCATTGGCTATAGGTGTGGGGTCAGTGTTCTTGCAGGACTCCTTGCTGCCTGGGACTCTATGCAGGCGTGAAGCCAGACCTAGGGGAGTAGTTGGGTCCTGGTTCAGATGCTGGGGAATCTCTGGACAGGGGCAGCTCCAGGCTGATCATCTACTGTGCTAGGCTGGCAGGCTGGCTCAGCCTGGTTCCCCCCAAGGAGACCAGAGCAACAGATCTGGGCATTGTGGAAAGTTAGGAAGTGGATGTGGGGGTGAGGCCTCCAGATAACAGGGTATCAAGGGTCTTCCCAATGCTTTGAGAAGTGAGAAGGCTTCCTCTTACTAAATATAAATATTGTGTTGTTTCTTTTGCTTGTTTTCAAGCTATATAAGATACTAAGCTGCATTTAGTATTCTGGGATTTGGTTTTATTTTACAATGTTATATTTCTAAATTTCATATCTGTTATAATTGCTATGATTAATTCAGTTTTGATTCATGTCAAACACCTTCTCTTTTATAAGTATCCTCCATGAATGTATCTATACTCTGTCAATAGTCATGGGAATTTCCTGGGACTAATTTCCCGAGTGCTGTGCTGGTTCAACTGTGGGCTTCACCTGGGTGCATAGAAGGCTGTGTAAGGAGCAGGGAGATTGCTCCCATCCTCCCGGACAGGAGGATGCCCCAGCCCACAGCAGCTCCTCTCATCCCCACTAAGCTGGGCTCCTGGGTTCACCTTTGGGTCCCCGTAAAGGTCCTCAGCTAGCTTGGCTCCCCTCAGGATTGCCCCAACCCTGTTCCCTCAAGGAGTCCTGGGGTCCTCAGTCTCCCAGTTCCTCTACTGCTCCAAGACCTGTTCAGGCCCAGAGTTCTCTGAATGTGTTTCTGGCCTCTGATCCCAGTCCCTGCAGCCCAGCAACTCTGGGAGCTGAATGCTCAGTCTTTTTAAAAATATACAACAAAGTCACCAATTTAAATTATCACTCCTAAATTGACACAAAATAAGTTAAAATGGGCATGACAGGAAGTACAATCTGTAGGAGGTTCACATAACAGATAAATGTAAAAGTTAACCAGTAAAACTTAAAATAGGCATATATACAAACACTTGTATGCACATTTTCATGAATAAGAAATTATCTAATTGGATCATTTTAGATAGGCATATATAATTTAAAACAAGTACAGAAGGGCAAGGGATTTAGCTCAGTGGTGCTGCCACCTGCCTCACAAGTGCAAGGTCCTTAGTTCAATCCCCAGTACCAAAAACAGAACAAAACAAAATAAGTCAAAACAAAACACCTAAATACAACAGAGCAATTCTATGTTAAAGCCATGACAATGTCAAATAAAATACTAAACAATAGCAACAACAATAAGAAAAATATGGCAGCCCATTGGGGAGGAAGCAGCTTCTTTGACACTCGCTCCTGTGTGTGGGGAAAAGTTTGCTGCCAGGGCAATGTCCTGTGTTTGGAGCAAGGTGAAAGAGAAGAGGGGACCTTATATCCCTAGATGAGGAAGGACAATCTTGGGCTCACAAAAGCCATAACTATATTGTTATTTGTTTAGTTGAGGAACTCTGAAAGGCAGCACAAAGGACAGTTAATTATGATAGACTTAAAGAAACCACCCACACAAAGGATGAAAATCCTGTCCAATTCATGGTCCATTTAGCTGCTGCCCTCAGGTGTTATATGGTCCTAGATCCAGAAGGTCCAGAAGGCCATTTTATTTTAAAGGTGCATTTTGTTAATAGTCATAAAAAAATTACAGAAACTGTCGATTGGTCCTCAAACCTTACAACAAGAACTATTAAATTATCTTTCAATGTTTATAATAACAGGGATGGAAATGCTTGATAGCAGTACATTTCTTAGCTGCAGATACTGGCCTCCTTTGTAAGAAAACCTGCAGAGTTGGCTGCCAAAGTAACTAATAAAAGATCAAAGGTATCTCAGACTTGAGGTACCCCTTCAGAATCATGTTTCAAATGCCACCAGAATGATCACTGGTCTAGGGCATGTCTACAGCATGGGATTCCCTCCAAGTCATGTCCTTCCTGTGGGGGTTCTTACTGGAAGTAAGATTGACCAGTCTAGCAGATGTCCCTGCTGCTTCTGGGAAATGACCCTAGGGACCCCCAACCAGCTCCTTCCCAGATTTTCTTGGCCTGGCCACCAAGGACTGATGCCACCTGGAAGCCATTGAGGCCTTCTGGACCATTTTCAGAGCTCCAAGTAAGTCTTATTACCATAAGGGTAATTCTACCCCATTCTTCCTTGACACAGGTGCTACACATTCTACCTTGTCTTCCTTTTGTGGACCAACCTCCTTGGCCCCAACTACTGTTGTAGGGATTGATTCCAAAGTCTCCAGATCTTTTAAGATGCCCCCAGTTTGGTGTCTGCTGAGCCAACACCTTTTCCTGCATCATTTTTAGTTATTCTCACCTGTCCTATTCCCCTTTATGGTGAGACATCTTAGCTAAGCTGTCAGCCACTCTGATTATCACACAGTCAGAGCTTATAGCTGCTTTAGTCTCTCCTTCCCTGCCTACCCTGAGGCTCCTATCATCTCTCCTCCCCTCAGCCCCAGACTCTGGGACACTTCTGCCCTATCTCTGCCCTCATCCAAACAACCCCTTAATATCCCTCTCAAGCCTGATTACCCCTACTCTGCCCAATGACAGTATCTGATCC